CGACCCAAATCACATATTCTCTCTCTCTCGTGGCTGTTCTTTCATGCTAGCAGGATTTCCATGTTGGGCTCCAGACTTCAGGAGATCCTGGTCAGAGAAAGTTAAAACTCTCCAATGTGCCTGCTTCAGCCCTTGCCTGTATAGGGTGAGTTTTCTTAGCAGGGTAACAAGGAAAGGTGGGTAAGTGCAGACAAAAAGCAGGTGAGCAGTTTTATCCTATGCTCACTGCCATACAAAAGAGTGAATGTCAGATACTGATCACTGGCATTCTTCTGTGATTTGAGGTAACAATTTAAGTGACATAGGGGTGTAGGGAGACTGACAAAACCTCTGCTTGTGTGCAACTATGGTCAAGAAAGCTCCATCACTGGCAGACTCAGTTATGGAAGTTGCTCTCTCTGGACTCTCTTGAGTTTCTGTGGAGAGTCACAATCTTTCCTCAGTGATGTATCTGAGATCTAGGAGATGTCCAGATGAGAGAAACAAGAATAAGAACATACATGGGGGGAGGAAGGACTGACATTTATTCTAAGGGAGTGGAGAAGAGATTGCACAGCTGTAAAACAGTGCATTAAGAAGTGAAATGGATGGGTTGTTGTTTCCTTGACCTACAGTACTAGCTGGCAGTTGTTTAATATGATTGAAAGGTGATGAGTTTGAAACAAAGTCCATTTAAACTAAGAAACGCAGCTGGCATCTGCTATTCACTGTGATCAGTCCCTTCTGATAGCTGCTGTGTTTCCAGGAGCTGAACAGCGTGCTGAGTGTTGCAAAAAAGAATGTCAGCTTAGTCAAGAGACACTCTGAGAGCAGAGTTTCTGTCTTCTTGGAATGAGGCTGAGACACCAGAGCTGGTGGCATACTGCAGCTAGTTGACCCTGTCACAGGTGGCTGACACAGCCCTGTGCAGCATGCATGGATAAGGCCATTAGATCACCTTCTCCTAGGTGCACTTGCATGGCTGCTGGGTCCCTGAGGCATGGCTTTGGATGTGGATGCTGAGGTGATGGTAGTAGGGTTGTGTGGGGCTGGGTTGTGGTTGCTGCTCACAGCTGGGGCTCTGCTCTGATGCTCTACTTCTCAATAGGCAAAAACGTACCGTCCCGTGTGACTCCCCCAACACAGATGAAGGTGGCAAAGAAGCTGAAGATGAGGAGTATGATCCACAGTGGCAGGAAGACTATGATGACGATGATGACCTTGAAGATGACAACTTCATGTTTGATAATGAGTCAGATTGTGATTCCTACTTTGATGATGATGAGAGCTATGACTAGAAGTGGTCTGTCACCCAGCTGGCCAGCTTGGACCTCTGCCTCTACTCTGTCTCAACCAGTTTGTATTAGTGTTTTTCCTCAAAGACAGGGAGGAGCTCTCAGGCAGAGCAAAGGATTTCCTCTGGGGGGCTACTGTCTCAGTGACTCCTCTTCAATATGCAGAAACATTTCTCTGGGCAACTGGTCTGTGTATCTGTGGCCAGCTCTTTCAGAAAGACATATCCTTGCCTTTTTCCCTTGTCCCCAGTTCTGCCTGTAGGTATTTAATCTACAAAGTTACAGTCCACTTGCAGAGTGAGGACTGCTTGCCACCTCTTAAAGGGCTGCACACTGTCCTTGGATGTGCTCCCCACAAGGACTTGGCACAGGTGAGTGTGGCATGTGTCCTAGCATGGCACTGTCTAGAGATGGCCAGTGTCTAGAAATACTGCAGGGGGATGTGTTTGGACTCAAGTCAAAGCCTCCTTTCTGGAGCTGGTGGGATTCCCTCTAGAGTCACAGATGGATGTGGTTCATTTCCTCTAGTTGAGAGGAGCAACATTTTTGATGTTTGTTGGAGTTGTCTACTCTGCTATGAAGCAGGAAAGGCTGCTGTGAGTGATACAAGTTTGCAGGATTGTTTAAGTGTATAAATATATGCACACGCACACGTTATATATATATATATATGCAGAGATTGTTCAGATAATACTTTATCTTTGAAAAAAACCAAATCTGAGGAACAAGGGTTCAGAAAAGTTCTGTTTATAATAAAGAAACAGTTTTCTTCTAGCACGAGCCTACTTGTTTATTGTAGGGAACATGCATGTGGAGGGAGGCAAAGGTCCTCAAGTGAGGAGAATGTGACCCGGAGGTGCTCATCCCAGGAGTTATTTGTGAAATTGTTGTGGGCTTGGAATCTTCACCCAGGCCATGCAGTCTGCCCTGCAAAGTGGCTTTTTCTTCCTGGGCCATTCAGGAACAGTAAGAGGTATGGGGAGAGGTGGGAAAGAGGACAGGGGACCAGACCACACAGAGTGGTAGGGCTGGTGTTTCTGGGAGCAGGTGCAGGACAGAATGTTGGGATGTTGGTGTAGGTGGTAACATCTGGTGCCTAGCAGAAGGCAGATGTGGGACTGCTTATCAGGGCTGGAGGGTCATTTGGCAGTTTGTGGGATTGTTTAGGAGATACAGGGCTCTTAGGCCTTGTGTATTATCTGGGAAGGATTTGGGGTTCTTATGGGATGCTGGGCAGGGAGCAACTGACAGGGCAGACTAGGAGAGAGGGCTGATTTTTCCATTCTCCTTCACCCCTAACTCCTACTCCTGCAGAGTCTGTCATGGTGGAAATCCCAACACTATGCGGCAAATAGGTTCCCTGTGATACCTCTCTGGGATCTCTCTCTCCACAGGGGCAGTAGGGGGAGAGATGTAATAGGCATGCTCAGACAGCCTTGTCTTACCCAGTGTGACCAGTCCTTGCAGGAAAAACCTGCATTTCCCAGTTTTTTGGGGGGAACAGAGCAGTCTTCCAGTCAAATGACCTACCTGGCACTACCAGGTCATGCCAGGCGCTTGGCCTCAGAACTGAAAGCCCTTTGGGGCTCACTCCCTCACAAACCTCACTGGGTAAGTGGAAAAAAATGATCAGTAGTTCACTGGCAGCTGGTCTGAATTACACAACTGAGGAGCCTTCCATATATTCTACACCTCTGAAGTCTCTTCACAGTGCCAGACTAGAGCCATGTCCAATAGGGCATTCTTTCCCTGCTGGTTTTTGACAAGTATGTACTCCTGGCTGTGGTTTTGCTGGATAGTAAGTAGGGACAGTGGGAATCTCATTCACTCATTCATGCACATCACTAATGGGGTGATGAGGCATTTGGCTATTTATTGATCACAGAGAAATTAGACATTTCTTTTCCAGGCTAAGTAAAGTGGCCTGTCTGCCTAGATAAAGGCAGTTGATTTTGTTGGCAGGTAAGATTATGCAGCATGTTTACCAAGTTCTCTTCTATTTCCTACCTGCTAACCCTTCTACCTCCATTACCTCTGATGAGCATCAATTTCCCTAGATCATGACAACCTGTAAATAAAATTTATTTACAGTCAAATATCTTTGCATATAACATACAAAGATACATACAATATCTACAGATATGCTACTCCCACCTTCCTTTCTCCTTTCACATTCCTTTCTACTTTTACATTCCTATCCTCCTTTCCTTGCCCTCCCCCTTTCTTATTTCCCTCCATCCTCACTGCACATCTGTCCTTCCTCCCCTCTGTTCTTTCATCCATCCTTCCTTCTGTCCATTCTTCTTTATGTCTGTTCTTTATTATGTTCTGCTTCCTACTTTCTCTTCTCGCTATTGACCTCTGTCCTCACTTTATATATGTAAATCCCCCTTTCGTTGTGCCCTCCTGCATTCTTGGCTTTCTGCTTTCCTCTGTTCCTCCTTGCCCACTTGTCTGCCTTCCTGACTTCTTTCCTTAATTACTATCTTCTTTCTTCTCTCACTGCTTTCCTCAATACCTCCTTCTTTCCTTCTGCCCTCCCTGCCTGCCTTAATTCCTTCTCACCTACCTGCCTTTTTCCTTTTATCTTTCTTTCTTCTTTCATTTCATCCATCTTCCCCTGGCCTTCCCCTTTCCCTCACTCATATTTTTCTTCTCCCTTATGTCCTAATTTTCCCTTGCCTCCCCTTCTCTTCGCCCCCTCTTCATCTTCCTTCTTCCCCTCACTTAGGTCTCCCAGGTCCCCAAGCCTCTTTGCAGAGTCTGTAAGAGTGAAACGGTACCCACAGTAGTGGGAGGTAGAATTATGGACCATTCAGGTCATTAGACATGCGTGAAGTCTTTGCCAAAGGAATGGCCATCCTGGTAAGATGAACTTTAAACTAGGAATGGTGGGGAATGGCAGAGTTACAGTGACCACTCGTGCAACAAAATAAGGCTTAAGTGGGGATACCTCCAGCAATTACAAGCAGCCAAAGATGTGACTATGATGGGACTATGGGGTGCCTCCTTGCACTCCTGCACTCAAATCCCTCTGTAATGTGCCTGTCCACCAATGCCTGTAGTATGGGAAACAAGCAGGAGGAACTCGAGGTTTCTGTGCAATTGCAGGGCTTTGGTCTTATTGCAGTTAAGGAGACCTGATGGGACAGCTTGCGTGATGGGAATGTTGTCATGGAGTGCTACATGCTGGTTAGGGAAGACAGACCAAGAAGAGTAGACCATGGAGATGTGAAGGCTGGGAGCAGCCTTGGCTACACTGACCATGAGATTGTGGAGTTTGGTACTAGGTGAGGAAAAAGCAGGACAGCCAGTAAGATCTCAACTATGGACTTAGGGAGAGCTAACTTTAGCCTCTTCAGGGACCATTTCCTCCAGGCTCAGGAATGGTACATCCCAGTAATGAAGAAATTGGGCAAAGGGGCAAGAGACCTACATAGATGAATAAAGAACTCCTGTCACTATTCACACACAAGCAGAAGATACACAGGAGGTGGAAGCAGGGACAGACAACTTGGAACAAATACAGGGATGTTTTCAGAATATGTAGAAATTAGACAAGGAAGGCCAAGGCCCATTGGGAATTAAATCTGGCCAAGGATGTCAAGGACAACGAGAAGGGCTTCTTCAAATTCATCCATAACAAAAGGAAAACAAAGGATAATGTGGGCCTGTTACTAAATGGAGGTGGGGCCCTGGTAACAGAAGATGCAGAGAAGGCAGAGGGAAGGCCAAATTGGGAATTAAATCTGGCCAAGGATGTCAAGGACAACGAGAAGGGCTTCTTCAAATTCATCCATAACAAAAGGAAAACAAAGGATAATGTGGGCCTGTTACTAAATGGAGGTGGGGCCCTGGTAACAGAAGATGCAGAGAAGGCAGAGTTACTGAATGCCTTCTTTGCATTGGTCTTCACTGGCATGAGCACACCTCAGCAATCTCTGACCCAGGGGACCAGGGTAAAGGAATCCTGGAGAAGGGCTTCTTCAAATTCATCCATAACAAAAGGAAAACAAAGGATAATGTGGGCCTGTTACTAAATGGAGGTGGGGCCCTGGTAACAGAAGATGCAGAGAAGGCAGAGTTACTGAATGCCTTCTTTGCATTGGTCTTCACTGGCATGAGCACACCTCAGCAATCTCTGACCCAGGGGACCAGGGTAAAGGAATCCTGGAAGGAAGACCTTTCCTTGTTAAAGGAGGATTGGGTTAGAGAACACCTAGGCAAACTTCCACAAGCCCATGGGCTCTGATATGATGCATCCATGAGTGCTGAGATCTGATGCATACTACAGGAAGGCTGTTCATGACCATCTTTGAAAGGTCCTGGTGATCAAGAGAGGTGCCTGATGATTGGAAGAAGGCAAATACCACCTCAGTCTTCAAAATATGCAAGAAGGAGGACCCAGGGAACTACCAGCCACTCAGCCTCACCTCAATTCCTGGAAAGGGAGCATCTCATTCCAGAGGCAATCTCTATCCACATGGAGGACAAGAAGGTGATCAGGAGTAGTCAGCATGGATTCAGTAATGGTAAATCATGCTTGACCAACCTGATTGCCTTCTACAATGAGACAACTACCTGGATGGATGAGAGGAGAGCAGTGGATATTGTCTACCTTGACTTCAGCAAGGCTTTTTACACTGTTTATTACACAGGCAAGCTCACGAAGTGCTGCCTGTATGAGTGGGTGGTGAGGTGGATTGAGAACTGGCTGACTGGCAAATCCCAAAGGGTTGTAATTAGTGGCACAGAGTCTAGCTGGAGGACTGTCACTAGTGGTGTCCCCTAAAGTTCAATACTGGGCCCAGTGTTGTTGAACTTGTTCATCAATAACTTGAATGAAGGGACAGAGTGTCCCCTCAGCAAATTCACTGATGACACAAATCTGGGAAGAGTGGCTGGTACACCAGAGTGCTGTACAGCCCTTCAGAAGGACCTCAACAGGCTGTCTGAAGTTCAACAAGAGCAAATGTAGGGTCCTGCACCTGGGGAGGAATAAC